CACACACACACACACACACACACACACACACACACACACACACACACACACACATTAATCTTTCAGGCTGCTGCCATGAGATACACATGCTGAGAACAGGACTAAGCTGACCTGTTATGTGGCTGCTCTTCATACTGTGCTACCCTGTCATCCAAAACCACCATGAAAACCAATAGAAAAATCCCATTTCCATTAAGGAAACAGTGAGACTGCTGTTAAGTGCAGTTAAAAGCTCAACTGTCTTTCATCTGAAATAAGTATGACAGAGGGTTCAGTTGCAAATTGTGAAGCAGAGTATGAAAGAGACTGTCCCAAATGAGCCCTGACTGTTAAGAGCATACAGCAGGCTACTGTTACACTGTCAGACGGCTTGTTCTTGCAAAGCTAAAAGGTTTATGGGAACACTCGGTCCTTCCACCCGCAAAGGAACAATTAACTCAGGACCCAGCCGTCTCCTTGTGGAAGTGGACAGACACATAATGACCCCTGGTTATGGTTGTCCAGCTTCTTTGCGACATTGGGACATTCTTTCCTAAGTGCCTGGGGAAGTGAAATTCAGTGTGTGGATGTGTGTGTTCTCTGTCCATCCTCTTTGGTTCCCTCCATCTTTGAAACAGTAACAGCAAACAAAAACAGACTGTTCTATATATATGTATATTCAAAGGGAGCTAAGCTATGTAAAGGCACAAAAAGTCCTTTGTTTACATTTGTATGAATGACTATCAAGGAGATGTACTCAGATACACACATGGCCTTGATCAACATGAAGCCATTGTCTGTCTGATGAAAACTGGAACTGTTTGTGCTCTGACCAACTGGTGCTTAGCTGTGAATGAAGGAATGAAAAATGGAAGGTCACCGTGTTCAGTATCTACTTACATATTGTCTTTTGTCCTATTAAAAATGTTTTTTTTAATGTTATCAATTTGTTACGTTTGTTGTACTTCGACAAAGTAAGTAATGATAATGTGAAAGTAGCACACTTCATGTATATAATATATATGTATATAATAGGATTATGTTCCGTCACAGTCAACTTCAAGATATTAACTTTGTCCTTTTGTTGGAGTAAAAATCTATTCTGTATCAGACCAATTCATAGATGGTGTGCATATGTTGTCAGTGTGTTTACCTTTAGTCTAATTCATCAAAACAATATTGTAATTAATAATTAAGGCAGCCTTTGTGGACTTATAATAATATCTACTATATAAAGTTGATTACTAGTAGGGCAATGACACAGACACACACAAAAACATGCATATTACCTGTCTCTACCATCTGTCACTCAGTGGGGTTTCAGTCAGTGAAGAACATTTTGTGGAAAAAAAATCCATCCATGCTGTTTAGCACATTTGCCTGTGTGTGTGTGTGTGTGTGTGTGTGTGCGTGTGTGTGCGTGCGTGCGTGCATGAGTGCGTGCGTGCGTGCGCGTGTGCGTGCAAAAGAGAGAGAGAGCATGTCTTTGATTGTGGGTGAGTGGACTCTTGGCGTATGTCATTTCAATTGACACAGATGTCCCCTGCAGGCTTCGTATTCGCCAAGCAACCGAGCAACAGCTACTCACTCACTTAACTAAAAAGAGTAGTTTGTTATGACTTTCAGAATCATCCCTTCCAAGTTTCATTAGTTTGAGTAAACTGCCAAGAAAGACTTAATAATCATATAAGATATAAAGGAATATCAGAATATCACAGTCCCAGAATAACTAATATGTCCCTAAATTTGAGGATAAGGTGAAGTAGCCTAGTAGAGACTACCTCTTGAAAGACCATGTTATCTTTCAACCTACAGGTACATCTGAGATCAATTCGGACCAAGGTATTTGTAGACTCAGTTATCAGATCCACATTGGTCTTGTTTGTAGTTATATAACAGTATCTGTATTGTTTAAAAAGAACTCAGAGAGATATTACAAACTATGCATGCTGCAAAAAAACTAACTCATTTTATACCATAAAGGAAGCAGCACTAAATAACATTAACATAATTAAGACCTAGAAAAACATTATTTTAATGTATTTATTTGTTTTTAGGGTATAAACTAAACTACACTTTATTTGATTTTTTAAGACCCAGAGGAAACCCTGTTAGAGGGTTGAGAAGGAAGCTGCCATCATTAATTTTAACCTTTAAGGTGACTGACACAGTTTGACCTTATTATCATTCAGGCCAGTTCAATAGTCTCACACAGACAAGCCCAAGGAATTGCCACAGCGTTTGTGTGGGAGAGTTACAGCTCTGAGAGCTCAACACTGCAACTGTAGAAAAAACACAAATAGACTAAACACAAGCAAATAAGAAATCAATGTGTCAACACATACACTGTAAATACACGCAACTAAACCAAACAGACAAATGTGGTAAAAATACTCAAAACACAAACGAGTGCAGAAATGTGCTGCGAGTGATAGACGACAAACTAATATGTTTTTGAGAACAGAAAAAAAAGACAATTCTGACTGGTTTTCTTACATTTTAGCTAATTTTCCAACACCCAACATGTCAGAGTCAGTTCATCACTTTTTGTGCCCCCTGGTTACATCCTGCTTACAGCAGGTTTCTCTATTTGGTTGTATTGTGACTATTTGCAGTGTTTATTTGCTGTATTGAAGAGAATTTGCAGTGCATGTGTTGCACCCACTTACTTTCTGCTATTGAGGAGGAAAAAAACTCTTGGCCTTGTTTATTTCTTTAAACCAATCACAACTGTCTTATACTGTGCTATGCTCAGGATGCAGCAATGGTGCGGTTACAAGGTAGATGTCAGGGAGGGAAGTGTAGAACAGGAGGGAAGTGTTGGAACACTTGTAGTTGGGGACGCAAATAATTGTAACGAAATGGCAAAGAAAACACAGTAACACGTATATTGATTTTTCTGACTGCATACACCATTTCATTCAAAACTCAAAAGTTTGATAGTCTTGCAGCAAAAAGGATTTTGAAATTCGGTTAGAGGAAAGATGAGGACAATGCCACGTCGCTGTTGGCAGGCTTTGTACCCACAGCCTGCATCCGGTGAGTCAGACTAGGCCAGTCCGGACCCTGTCCTGTCCAAGCCTGGCTCATATTCACAGCAACAACACACAGAGGACTCTCTTCAGAAGCATGCTGGCCCAGTTTCATGGCTCACTTTGACATAGCTGAGGAATTGATGCCGATTTAAAGTTTCCTTCTCTGCCTGAGAGGGATGCACCTCCCCTTGCTGATGCCCGTATAAACAGAGAGCACTGAGGGGATTTCCTGATGTGTGCAAGGGCTCGTGTACGTACGCGTGTGTGCACGCGTGCATGTGCGACACACTTTGCCTTTGCTCGGAAAATGTCCTCGCTCAGTGTCCTGATTAAGTTAGTCAGAGGAAACGTGGGCAAAAAGTCAGATACAGATGGGGTCATATTTAGTTTTGAATTGTTATTGTATTGCTAATGGACAAATTGATGAGCAATAATTCAATGGTTCTCTGTTTTAAAAATCTGATTTTTTTCAACCTTAAAATTCATATTTTTTGTTGAGATTTGTTATGTTTTTTGTGTATTTATGTTTATATTATGATGAATGGGCTATGTAAAAACAAGAACGACGCACTCACACAGATAATCTTAACAGTGGATGTGTAGCAGACAAGCAGTCGCCATGGCGAGGCATCTTAATGAGGCTGACGAATGTAGTCTGCCTACAGTGCGCCGATGACGTGTCAGGTTATAAAGGAGAGGTCTCTGCTCGTGTGTGTGTG